TAAAAAATATGAAAAATAGACAGCACTTTTACCAAAAAACGCTATGAAAAAGTGATTTTTTTTAAAAAAATTTTTAAGACGTGAAGAATAGACAACGCTTTTATTGAGAAAGCGCTGCTAAAGGGGAGGGGGGCATAGAGAGCGCTCAAGAAAGCGCTGCTATAGGGGGGGGGGGGGAAGGGAGGGGAAGGATAGCGCTTTAAAAAGCGCTGCTAAAGGGGGGGAATAAGCAACATTTTTCTTAAGAAAAGCGCTGCTAAAGGGGGGGGGGGGAGAATAAATAGTGCTTTCCAAAAGTGCTGCTATATGGGGGGGGGGAGGGAATAGGAAGCACTTTTAAAAAGCGCTGCTAAAGGGGGGGGGGGGGCGAATATAGAGCGCTTTTATGGGAAAACACTGCTAAAAGTGGACCTATAGCAGCGCTTTTTCCATAAAAAAACGTTGCCTTTACCTTTAGCAACGCCACTTTAGGCAGCGCTGCTAAAGACCAAAAAAAGCACTGCTAAAGGTATTTTTTGGCATAGTGGCTAATAAATGCAAAGGAAATAGTCCTAGATAGAAAGATTTACTCACATTAAAAACCTTTATAGAGTTAAAAACATTAACTAAACAAAAGGACAAAAGAGGATAAAGTGTCACATGGACAAATGTGGTGGTCCCAAACATTATGCCACTTGTATCCTACATACACCCCTCGTCAGTGTCGCCACCAGCGACACTGGTTCCGACTTTGGGACTGGATTCGAGGGCATGGGCATAGGCGTAAAGGTGTTGCCTTTTGTCGGGCTCAATATTGCTCTCGTTTTGGTCGATGCATGCATTTGAATTTTGAATTCGAAGAGAAAAAAAACTTCGTGAATTGTTGCAGAATAAAAATAGGCAACGCTTGGAAACAATGCAACTTTCAGTGGAAGTGATGTTAAAATGTGTTGTTTCATCAAGGGTCGCAACCTTGTGAAACAACACATACATGACCTATAAATACTTCATTCTGAAATTCAGAAAATCACATCACAAATCAAATATCTTCTTGAACAAATTCCAAAATATCTTCACTACAAATCGAGTTTTCGTTGGTCTTCCGCAAATTCGATATAAGGCTAAATTATCCTAGGTATTCTTGCGTTCCAACTCTAAGACATATTTGCGAGTGTTTGAAATACTTTTAAGGAAAGTGACACCATTCACGATTCAAACCTGGATCGATTCAACTTTATCGATATTTCTAACAGTATTTAAAGTATTGAAATAATGGCTTCTGACGGTGCAGTTTCAAGCATCAAAGTTATGAACCAAGACCTTGTCAAGTTGAACCGTTTTGATGGAACCGACCACACACAATTGCAAGATAAGATGACATTTATACTCACCGCTCTAAAGGTTCACTATGTATTAGATCCTAACTTACCACTAATTCAATAACCAACCAAGGATGACTCTGATGAACTCAAGAAGGAGTGTAAGAAATGTAAAGTGGACGAATTGCTATGCCGTGGACATATTCTGAATATGCTATCTAATCGTCTCTATGACCTCTATACAGATACTCAATTTGCAACAGAAATCTGAAAAGCACTCAAGTTTAAATTCAAGGCCGGAGAGGAAGGTACGAAGAAGTTTTTAATTTCTAAATAATTTGATTTCAAATTTATAGATTCCAAGCTCATTCTTCCCCAAGTGCACGACTTACAGGTTATTGTGAATAAAATAAAATATGGGAAAATAGACATTTTTGAGACCTTTCAAGTTGGTGCAATCATTGCAAAATCACCATCTTCGTGGAAAGGCTATAAAAAGAAATTGTTGCACAATTTTAAGGACTTCTCTATAGAGAAAATCCAAAAATATCTTCGAATCGAGGAGGAATCGAAGGAAAGGGAGAAATCAAAATCTATTGGTCTTTCCAAAGCCAATGCTGTGACTGCCAGATGGAAAAAGAAACATGGTGGCATGAAGAGTCATCTTGGACCTAAAAAGGAACATAACAAATTCATAAATTCTAGTGCTCCAAAAGGTTCGAAAATCAGATGTTTTATATATGGAAAACTCGAACACTATGGTTGAGACTGCAGGCACAACAAGTCAAAAAATGAGATCAATGCAGTTCATGCAAATGACGACATAATCGCTACAGTGAGCAAAATAATGGCAATCAAAGGCAAAGTGCAAGGATAGTGGTATGACACATGTGCTACAGTGCATATCTCTTATGACAAGGTTGCTTTTAAAACCTATTCTGAGGTAATTGTTGAACATAAAGTACAAATGGAAAATGAAGTATGGTCTAAAGTTGTTGGAACCGGATCCGTGGAACTCAACTTCACTTCCGAACAGAAAGTCACTCTTGTTAATGTGTTTCATGTCCCCGACATGACTATAAATCTTGTCAGTGGGGATTTATTGGATAAATTAGGAATTAAATCTGTATATGAATTGGGAAAACTTATATTGATCCGTAATGGTGTATTTATAGAAAAAGGATATTCCACTAAGAGAATGATCAAACTTTGTACCATTGATAATATTATTAATGAAATTTCTAATTATCCTTATATGCTTAAATCTATTTCTTTATGGAATTCTAGATTAGCACATATTGGTATTAGTACTATGAAAAGACTAATTAAATCTGGTTTGATCTCATGTAATATTTATGATTTCGAAAAATGTGAAATATGTGTCAAATCAAAGATGATCAAGAAACCTTTCAAAAGTGTTGAAAGAAAATCAAATTTTCTTGATCTTGTGCACTCTGATTTGTGTGAATTTAATGGCATGCTAACCCGTGGGGGAAACCGATATTTCATAAAAGTATTTTGTTCTCTTGTGTGAACCTCAAGCAATCATCAATAAAAGTTATGAAATACTGGTTTCCCTCACGGATCAGAGTGCACAAGATCAAGGAAATTTGATTTTCTTTCAGCATTTTTGAAATGTTTCTGGATCATTTTTTATTTGACACATATTTCACATTTTTTGAAATCACGAATATTGCACGATATCAAACTGTATTTAATTAGTCTATTCATAGTGCTAATACCAAAATGTGATAATCTAGAATGTCATAAAGAAATAAATTCAAGCATATAAGCAGAATTAGAAATTTCATTAATAATATTATTGGTAGTACAAAATTTAATCATTCCCTCAACAGAATATCCTTTACCTACAAATACACCATTACGGGTCAATATTAGTTTGTCCGATTCATATACAGACTTAATACACGGTTTTTCCAACAAGACCGCACTAACAAGGTTCATATTTATGTCGGGGACATGGAGTACATTGATAAGAGTGACTTTCTTCCTGGAAGTGAAATTTAGTTCGACGAATTATGTTCCAACGACTTTAGATTGTACTTTATTTCCCATATGCACTTCTTGTCCATCATTTGCTTTAGAGTAGGTTATAAATGCTGCTTTGTCATAAGAAACATGCATGGTGGTACATGTATCATGCCACCATCCTTGCACTTTTTCTTTGATTGCCATAATCTCGCTCACCATAGCAATTATGTCGTGATTTGCATGAACAACATTAACTTCGTTTTTGGACTTTTTAGGCCTGCAATCTCGAGCAAAGTGGTCTGGTTTACCCCACACATAACAACCGCCTTTTGGCCCGCTAGAGTTTTTGAAATTGTTATGTTCTTTCTTAGGGCTAAGATGGTTCTTCATGCCATCATGTTTCCTCTCCCTTTTGCAGTTACAACATTGGATTTAAAGTATCTAGCGGATTTTGACTTTTCTCTTTCCATCGTCTCCTCCTCGATTCGAAGGTGTTTATGTAGTTTCTCCAATCAGAAATCCTCAGAACTATGCAACAATTTCTTCATGTATCCTTTTCACGAGGGTGGAAATTTTGCGATGATTGCACCAACTTGAAAATCTTCTAGAATGTCTATTTTTACAGCTTTTATTTTAATCACAAGAACATGTAACTCGTGTACTTATGCAAGAATAGGTTTGGAATCTGACATTTTAAAATCAAAATATTTAGATATTAAGATATTTTCGTACCTGCCTCTTCAGCCTTGAATTTGAATTCAAGTGCTTTCCAGATCTCTGTTGTAGATTGTGTATCAGTGTACAGATCATAGAGACGACCGAATAATGTGTTTAGAATATGCCCACAACACAACAATTCATATTCCTTTCGTTTCTCTGGTTCCTTCTTGACTTCATCGATGTCATCTTCTGTTGGTTCTGAAATTGGTATCAAATCAGGATCTAAGACATATTGAATGTTCAAGGTAGTCAATAGAAATATCAACTTGTCCTGCCAACGGCTGAAGTTTTTTCCATTGAAATGATCCAACTTGACAAAGTTCTAGTTCATGATTTTGATGCTTGAACTTGAAGCTTCGGTGGCCATGATTTGAGACACTATAAGACTATTAGATAAAGCTTCTAAATTAAATAGATCCAGGCTAGAATCGTGTATGAAACACTTTCCTTGTAGTGTTTCAACCACTCTCGAATGTCTTAGAATTTTTATGTAGGAACACCCAAGATAGTTCAGCTTATACTTTAGTTTATGGAGAGGATATTAATTTTTGTGATATGATTTCAATGTGGGGCTATTTAGTAAGTATTTATTAACATTTACTTATTTCCACTTTTTTTTGTCATTTTAGAAAACACACATGGACACTCATTGTCCATAAATTACAATATTAAATAGTGTCAAAACAATGAATTTTTGTTTTTGAGAGACACTTCTCTGACTTTTCTGATACTTTGATGAATTTTCCATCACGCATCGCACGAGTATCATACAAGTATCGAATATCAACGCGTGTCAAACACCGACTCGTGTTGAACATTGCGACACATCTATTCTTAAACGTATTTATGTTTCATAAATTATAAGTGCTGGTATCGATATCTCTGATATTGACACGACACAAACACACCTTTTATCAACCAGAGGTGCCGAGCAGCATCAATAAAAGTTTCACATATACATATAATAGGTTAAAAGACTGAGTCATAAACTTACTTGAAGATGGAGACTAGCCAAAGCCAAGACTCGGTAGGTAATGCTATGAAAAAACAAACAGCAGCACTGAACCACACACCAGCAAATATTACAATCGCATACTTGGATAATTTCTCACTTCCATTCTGCAAAAATAAGTCATTTACAAAATCAGCAACATATTTTCTGATCCAAAGCAAAGTGTATTCAAATTTAAAAACAAACACTTTGTCTTACTCCATAGATTACAAATTGACACAATACAATCAAATTGATTATAACTGCATGAGTAGAGAAAGCAACATCATTAGCCGCCACAGGAATCATCTGCAATTAACAAATCAAAACTAGATAATGCGAACCCGATTTCATTGTTGCATAAGATTCAAAACCATAAAGTAAAACTGAAAAAATATATTTACCTGTCTATAACCATATTTCTCAAAATATTGTTTCTGAATAACAGGACTAAAGAAGAGGGAAGCGTTGTAGATGAGATATGACCAATGCTTTGTGAAGTTCAAGATTGTATAATCTAAACTTAAACCAACCACACTGTTTCCAAAATCACTTATAAGTTAATAACAAAAAAATACAGAATGAAATTAAATGAAGAAAATAAAATTGTTACCTTTTTCTACGAAAATTGGAGATGAGTTGAGGGTAACCAGCAAGAGACCATGAAAGAAAAGCTAACCAACCAAATAATTGATAGATTATTTCTAATGGAAATGAATTCCATGGAACCATTTCCTTTTCTATGTGTTGTGAAAAACAACTAACTTTGTCCAAATTAACAATTTGTGACTATATAAACAAAACAGTTAATATATTATAATTCAACAGTTATACTTTCTTTTTTTAGAAGTTTTATTATTTTATAATTTAATTTTTGGATTTTTTAACGTTTGTTTAAACCTCTGGTTCCACGTACTAAGGTGGTTTCATATTTTCAAACTTCTTTGGTAGATTTTTATTTTCCTTTGTCATTTGTTGATTTTTGTTGGACTTTAGTTTCCATGAACTTGGTCTAAGAAACTGACCCGGTTAGTTGTGAATATCCAAATACTTTTCCTTGATTTCTTTATTGAAATAAACTTTTCCTTCTTCCATTCAAGGAAAAGTACTTTTGTTTAGTTAAGTTTTCTTTTTCTTTTTTAAATATGAATAGATAGGGATGTGGATGACAATGATATCTATTGTCCATGATGGAAATCTATTTTGTATGTTAATTTGATTATATTTACTATGAGAAATGGTGGATTGTCGTTGCAATATTGCATTCTTGATGTTTGATGATAAATTGGATGATTTAGGGTCTGGTTTTATGTGTTTGATTTATGAAAAATTTGGTGGATTCATGTTCTTTAAGAGAGGATTAATATGTTGGTGTTATTAGAAGTTGAATTAGAGTGATTTAAGGTGTTGAATTTGGGACTAGTATGGCGGTTGAAGGGTTGGAACTAGTTACTGATACGTAATAGAGAAAATAATTTTATTTTATTTTATTGTAAAAATAGACAGCGACAATATATTGTGTCATGATGATAATTAATTGCACTATTACAAGTTTTGAAAGAAAAAGCTATGGCAATCCATTGTCGTTAGATGAAAATCGATTGTCACTATGTGATTTTTGAAAAAAATTAATTTAAATTGTAATTTTAATCAATGGTAAGTTGTATTTAACATGATGTCAAAACAAGTCGCTAAAAGTTATAACTTACCATCATTTAAATTGTATAAACAAGTCGACACATCATCTGTGATTTTTCTGTATAAACATTTCACAAAGAACTACCATGACGTATCTCTGCGCCATAACTTTTGATCTGTATATCCAAATGATGTGTCGTTTGAATTGTTAGAAAGCTAATGTGCAGAGATACGTCATGGTAGTTCTTTGTGAAATGTTTGAAATGTAGTCATTTACCTATTGTAGGGATGTTTTTGATGACTTGTTGTTGAAGCGTTAAGCGACAAGTAAAAATATTATTTTTGAAAGAATTCCCTCCAAGATTTATGTCGTCTCCACATGGATCGGTTGTCATACCCTAAATTTTTACCAGACACTTTTGAACTTGAATTCATATTCTTGCTTTACATCATCCGCATAGCATTCCATATCATAACATTTTCATCATTTGTGCATCATATCCATTATTTATGTCATTTAACCATCGTGCATACAAAATAAGTGTCTTTGTGCTTGTGGTCTAAGCTCATGTCTTACAAGTTCAAATCAAATTCAGGTAAGGTTATTAGGTCAGATGTGTGTGTGGTTTGGTTGAAATTCAGTTGAGTTTGACCTAATCTTGGTCAAATAAGAGTTTGCTCCATCATCAGATTGTGTTAAAGTCAAGTTGCTTCATGGTCCATATTATTCTCTGGTCAAGGTTTTTGTGCAGTGCAATCCATGTCTCAATTCATAATATTAAGGCATTATCCCCTCACAGTGAAGTTTCTTGGTTCATCATGGTCAAAGTGGCATCAAGTTTACTGTGCAAGATGTGGGTTTATTTCAGAGATTGACCAAGACATTTAAAGTGATTTAGAACTTATTGATAAAAAATTCAGAGAATTGTGATTCAAATGAAAATTGCTACGGTTGTGGATTATTCGGTGGATCGGGAGTTGAGTCTCATTCAAGTTTATCAGTACAAGTGCATGTGCTTAGTGTTGGTTGAAGACCAGTTAAGTCTGACCTAATCTTGGTCGGACAAGTTTTGTTTCAAGATAAAGGCCAAGGTGGGATTGATTCAAGTGGTTGTGTCTGAAGTTTCAGTTAGAATTTCTGTGTTAATGCAGTTTGTCTGTGGGTGAACCAAGTTATCACGTTATGTGTAGGTCAGGTGCTTCATGGTTACCAAGGATCAGGGCATTGCCATTTAGGATTCTGTGAAGTGCATTGAGGTTCAAGACATATTATTGAGGTTTTATTCAAGGCGTTTTGTTCATTCATTCAAGAAGTGACATAGTGAACGATTGTGATTCAATTCAAAGTCAAGGAAAAATTCAAATCTATCCATTATCCATAAACCATTATCCTAATCCATTTTTTGTTCATTTTTTTAACCATTCTTAATATCCATTTCCACTTTCCGTTCAATATCCAATCCACATTCCATAATTATCCAAACAATTCCATTCATAAATTCATTTTACACACACAAAAAATTTTAATATCCATTTGATCTGACCTGATCAGAAGGGGGATCATGGGCCGGACACACTCTATTGGACTGCTACGTGCTCACCGATGCTGAGGGGAAAGAAGGGGGGTATACCTGCAAAACACTCCGATGCCAAAGTAAGGAATTGGGCAGAGCGAGAGCAAAGTATAGAAATTGGGCAAGAAGTGAATTACCTGACCCTCTTGTGGAAGAGGGTATTTATAGAGAGACCCCAGCGCTGGGCCAACGGTCATTTAAGGTGGGCTGGATGACCAGGCCCAACCCTAATGACTGCTAGGTCTTACGTGGCGTAGTGAAGACCAAGACGTGGTCTTCGCCCTAGTCCAACTGCTCCTTGATCTCCGGAAAGTGGGTTTGACCTGCTCTTTCGGAGGTGGGCAGTTGGTTGATGACGTGTCCCCGCGGAGGGGAGGCACGTGGAGAACGTGCGCCGGGCACGTTGTTCTCCCCGCAGAGGGGAGCTCGGGAGGTTCCCCAGAGCACGTTGTTCTCCCCGCGGAGGGGAGCTCGGGAGGTTCCCCGGAGCGCGTTGTTCTCCCCGCGGAGGGGAGGGACCAAAGACGTGCTTTGATGCGCCGGGGTGTGTTCTGTTCGGCTGATAAGAGAGGACGACGAGATGCTGTTGGACGCGCTGCTTGCGTCCGGTGTCGTGCTCTGCTCGTCTTGCGGGATGCGCGTGCCCGGCGTGCCCGTTGGGCCGTACGTGGTATTGGGCCTGCCGAGGTCGGGCCCATATCGGAACAGGAGCCCCCCAAGTCGAAGCTCTGGGGAGAGAGCGAGGACTTAAGGTCGCTGTGCCGGGGAGAGAGGTAGCGAAACGGGAGGTTCGTCGGGATTCGTGCGTGGCGGAGCGGACGCTTGCGCGGGGATCCCCGGTCGTCGGCGGAGCGGGGGGAAAGCAGGCGAAGGGGCGCGACTGTCAGGTTGCCGCCACGTGTCGTGCGTTAAGCGGTCGTAGGGGCGACTACCCTATGTCATTAATGAGCCTAGCGTCGCTTCAAATCTCGCACCGGGTTATAAATACGGGGGTCCCCGCTCATTTTCTACTTTTCACTCTACTGTCTTACCTGCGAAGCTCTGATATCTTTGCTCGTCCGTCGTCTGCCGCCGATCGCCGCCGCACCGTTTGGTCCTTCCCTCCGTTCGCCGCCGTTACAAGTGAGTTCTCCTTTCTCTTCCCTTTTATTTCCGTCGTTTGATTAGGACGCGTGGTCGGGGAATGATGAATGCCCCGAGGAGGGACGCAAGATCCGCCGTATCTGGCGATTTTTCTGGTGAGTGTCCCGGGGAGAATCGGTTGTTCCGATGAATGTCCCGAGGACGGGGGCTTTCTCCGATGAATGCCCCAGGGACGAGTGCTTTGTCTGATGAACGCCCCGGGGATGCGCGCTTTTTCCGGTGAATGCCCCGGGGAGGCGCGCTTTTTCCGGTGACCGTCCCGCGGAGGGATGGCGGGTCGGCTTTAGATGCCCCGAGGAGGGTCGACGGGGAGCGCGTGTTTGCTCGCCGTTCTCTGGCCTTTGTCGCCCTTTCACTTGACCTGCGGTGGAAGGGTGGATTTGATCCTGGCTATCGAATTCACCGTTGTCCTCTGCTTTTCAGGTGTAGATGTCGGCTTTGGTACTAGGGATAATGGTCGAAGACAACGAACTCGAGGTCCCGGACTTTGATGACGAACGCATCGCCCTGTCTGAAGAATGGGCGGCTGAGAAGCCGCTGTCTACCCCGTCTTGTTTTGTGGCCGATGCGTCCGACGTGTACGCCACCGTCGAGGATACGCCTATCGGGGAGCCGCAGCATTGGCAGGTGTACCGATCGAAAGAGCATCATCGCATCTGCTCGCGATATGGGCGGCGGATGTTCCCCATGCACGAGTGTTGCACCCTAAAATTTGACCAACCGGGTCTCGTATCTGGTCCGATGTTTCGACGCATAATCGCATTCGCATATGCATATTGCATACAGTGCATTTTTCATTTGTTTTGATTTTATCAGGGATCACAGCTCTCGTCTCGCGTCTCAGGTGTTTTTGATAGGTAGAATCGTATTTTTGGGATAGGTCGGGGCTCGTTTATTTTTACCGGCTATTTTGGTGCGCTCTCGCGGTGTTATGTGTCGTTCGGTGCTTATTTTGTTCCTCTGGGAATTATTGTGATTTTTCTGGATTTTATTGGCTATTTTTAGGGTTTAAATAGGTTTAAATCATTTTTAGGATATTAATAGGATTTTTTAATAGTTTTAATAGCTTTCTAATCTTTTAATATAGATTTTTTTCTTATTAAATAAATAAGTTTTTGTTTTAGAATAATAAATAGTTTTTGTTAATAGAAATTAAATGTTTTTAATTTTAGATATAGAGTAATACAGATTTTTCATTTTTAATAAATAAGTAGATTTTTTCTTTTATTAGTAAATAGAATTTAAATAGGAAATATAGTTTTATTAGAGATTTATTAGAATTTTATTAGTGGGTCATTAGATTTTTTCTGAGGTTTATTAGAGTATTAGGTTAATTCTTTTGTTAGGTTTAATTGAGATTTTATTAATTTTCAGTTT